CTGTTCCCCCAAGCACCACCAGGAGTGACCAGGAACAACGGTCACAAGCAGGCAGAGGGGAGATTCAGGCTAGACATCAGGAGGCGCGACTTCACGGTCAGGGCGGCTAGGGTCTGGAACCAACTTCCAGGAGAGGTGGTGCAGGCTCCTACCCTGGGGGCTTTAAGAGGAGGTTAGATGAACACCTTGCTGGCATCGTTTGACCCCCGTACTCTTTCCTGCCATGGCAGGGGGTCAGACTCAATGATCTGCTCAGGTCCCCTCCGACCTGACCAGTTATGAAACTATGAGTCTATCTTGAATCTTGAATCTTGAATCTAAGCTTTAATTCACGCTACTCACTGGAAACTCCCAATGGTGCCATGCTCACTCAGACCTGACGCAGGAAAGGAAGCCACACGCTCCACAACATGTAGCGAAGAGTCACCTTTTATTAGATTTTTTTTTAAATAGCCTTTGTTCTCCAAAATATACACAAATTTAGTGAATTTACAGTGACAGCAATGCAGCAGAACTCTGCCCTGCGACACACACATGCACACACACACAAAAGAAAAAAAAGAGAGAAAAGCATGTGGCAAGAAAACACCAGTATCTTGGCATTAAGGATGCTACAATCTCCTATTCAGGAAAGCGACTGTACCCATGAGGGCTGAACCAAAGTGGGTCAAGATACAGCTGGACAGAAAGGCTGGCTAAATTTCCTAGCAACAGCAAACAGAAAGGTGGGAGAGAGAAAGCAAAACTCCTGTTTCAGTCGGTCCGAGTCGCTGGGAGGTGTCCCCCACAATCTGTAGCTCTCCCAGAGTCAAACTGACTTGACGAGGCCGCGGTCTATATGTTTTAGGGCCTTTGTGCCTCTGGAGGTGGGGTACGGAGCTGGAGATGCCCCGGAGGCTCTGGCGCGTTGGCCTTGCTCAGGGTCGGCGCCGGCAGGGCGTTGCTGCACCGGGGCCCATTTTACGTGATGCTCGCGGGTACTGGCTGCTCCCTCCTCCGCCCCCGATGCCACGTCCATGGTGGGGTCCTCGGCCCGGACCGTGGCCCAGCCAGCCTCTGGGAGCCCAGGGATCTTGGGGTGCCGACGTCGGCTCCCCCGGACCCTGCTCCGGAGGAGAAGGGGAAAGTCTTTCCTCCTTTTCCTCCCCTCCCAAACTGTGCAGGTCGCAGTAGAAATGAACCTTGTCCTTTGCTCTGCCAACCCGCTGCGGGCAGGCGTGCCTTCAATCATCTAGGCCAGGGGAGGGCAAAATGTGGCCTGCGGGCCGCATCCGGCCCGCCAGGCCATTCTATCCAGCCCGCGGGTCCCCTAAAAAAATTAGAAAATTAATATTTATCTGCCCCTGGCTGCCTGTCATGCGGCCCTCGATGGCTTGCCAAAACTCAGTAAGCGGCCCTGCGCCCGAAATGATTGCCCGCCCCTGATCTAGGCTCTCAGTGACAGACGAGGAGGTGTGATGTTCACTCATGTCCGTAAGGCTGACGGCGTTCCTGCGCCACCATGGTACATGCCTCTGTCTCTCCTAAAACGAGCGTGCAATGGCTAAGACTGCTTCTCCTCGCTCTAACCCTGTCTGCTGGTGTAGGCGTACCAGCCTGACTTGCACATAAGGAAATCACTTGCTGAACCGTGTAAACAGTGCTGCCCATCCTCTTTTGGGAAAAGACCTGCCACCAGGTGAGTGCTACAGTGTGTTGCTGCTGGGAGATGCCTCTTTCCCCCACGGAGAGAGAGAAGGTCTTGCAAACCCAGAGTGGCTGCTCTGAAGCCCCGGAGCTGCTGGGGGGTGGCAGACATCCAGCCCAGATGATGCCCGATAGCCTTGTAGGAGCTGACACAAGAAATAACTCTAAGGGGGGGTTGGGCCCGTGTTAATAAGCGCCCTTGGGGCGATGCCCAGACTCGGGGCGTATCAGCCCTGATGGAGCGGGAGCTCACATGAGGTGCAATACTGGATTGCAGCGGGGTCCTGGAAAACCCAAGGGGTGTAAACACCTCTTCTTCCTGCCCGCAGAGGGGGTAAGAGATGGAGGAAAGTACGTGGTGTCAGGCCTTCCAGCCCCCGCCTCTGCCATTGTGCGGCGCGCACCTGCCTCTTGAAATGCAACGTGGTGGCGGGTGAGCTGCGGTCCCTCCCTGGGCGCCCCCTCCTCCTGGCTGGGGGCACAGGGAAGGCATCCTGCCGGCCCCCCCTACTTACTCTGTGCCCTCGTCCTCCTCCGCTCCTCCCACGTGCCGGGGGGCTGCATCAGGCCCTTGGCTCTGCGGAGTTGAGCGCTACAGCGTGGAAGTGCTCAAGGCAGCAAAAGGGGAGAAGCCAGGTGCTAGGAGAAGCAGAGTGAGCCCCCTTCCCTCTCCACCCCCCCATTAGGTAGCCTGACCCCTTCCATTATAATCATTTTGGGTCATGCCTGGGGATGCTCATGCTTTTCCGGGGCCGTCTTCTTGCGCTGTCCTTGAGAACCACGGAAGATGCAGCTTTGTGTTGTCACTTTGTCAGAGCACATGGGAAGTAAAGGGGGGCTGGACACCGAGTCAGTCTGGCCTTGCCTTGCCCTCTTTAAACACTTTGTCTTTTTAAACTTGGGAAATCCTCAACAAGAAGCCACGGCAGGAAACCGTTCAGGAGAAGCACAGGCGTGACCCAGTCCAGGTGACCTTACGGCTTTTGCTGTGCCCTCTTTGCCCATGCATGGTGTGGGTGTCTCTACCTGGTCAGATACCCCTCCTCAAGCATGCTGTGCCCCTGTTGTGCCGCCTTTGCCCGGAGGCCGAGACCTCCATCACGTGAGCTATACTGCCAACTGTCCAAAAATGATGATATTGTGCTAGTTAAACAGTCTGTGATCGCTCTCTCTCTCTCATACACGTCTATATACACACACTCACACCAATCTGTGATGTCTCGCACTCGCTCTCACCCCTCTGCTCTACTGCGGGGTAGCACTCTTGCACCCTGGGGTCCTCTTATACCCATGGGTGATCCCCACGAAGGAGCTGACGTGAGGTCCCCTCTTACTGCAAGGCCACCCAAGTGCACGGGTGGAGGAGGGCCCAGGTGACGTGGCACGGGCAGCCTCGACTGCCGCCTGCTCCCTGTCGCCACCTCAACATCCTTCAACCCCCATTTCGATCGAAGAGGCTGGTGCCTGCAAGCCACCCACACCCAAGCAGCGGCCCTGATTGTAAGGAAGGGCCACAGCGGGACAAAGCCTTGGTGGCACCTGAATAGGGGTCACTGGCCTGTGAAGCTGCAGAGCAGCAGGAGCCTGCGCCTTTCCCGAGTCTTCCTCCTTGCAAGGACCTTCCTGCTGGCGGAGAAGGGGCCTGGATAAGAAGACCCCTCTGGGGTCTACGGCAAGGCAGGACAGCATTTGCTATCCCCAGCTGCTTGGGGAGCACCTGAAGAGGCTTGGGGGTCCTGTGCTGTAAGGGCCACGGAGCCGTGGCTTTCTACTCAGACTGATGCAGGCTGCGGCTTGCATCTGATCTGGAGGGAGCGCTTGCTACTTCGTGAGTGCCAGCGTGTAATTCAGATGTCTGGGGCCCACTGGGCCCTAGCTCACAGCCCCACTGCCTCCCACAGAGCTGACCCGCTGAAGACGCAAGCCCATCTCTGCTTCAAGCCCCTTGGGGGCAGGAGGGGGAAGCCCGAGGTCTGAAGGATGGAGGCGAGGATGGGCTGTCACTTTTGGGGGAGAAGGAAAGGCTGGGAAGCACAAGAGCCCACGCTGCTTCCCTGGGAGAAGAGTGAGGATGGGAAGAGCCTGCCTTGGTCAGCCTGGGCTGGGGACACCTGGACCCTGCAGTGTCACGTGTGCTGGGGGAGTGAAACGATCGCTGGCCTGGGAGGCAAAGGACAATTTATGTTGCCAACATGGCTAGTCGGGAACGGCAAGCAAAGTGCAGCAGAGTTACTCGGAGGGAGAGGGAAACCTTACAGGGATCTACGTTACAGGCAGCGCCTGCCGGCCTCCTGGAGACGGCCCCGGTCCCCCGCAGGTGGGAGCGCTCCGCTCAGAACCAGCACGGCATCCACATGAAGGAGCCCAGGGCAGCCCCCGTGGCAGCCCCGGCCAGCAGCCCCAGAGCCATGTGGTCTCCCGACACGCGGTAGGGGTCTTCGCGGACGATCATGTGAGTCACGCCGGGCGCTGAGGGGCATAAACACAGAAACGCAGGATGAGCAGGGGGGACAGTGGCCTGGGGAAGATCCCGCCTTCACCTCCAGCCCGGGAGAGGAGGGAGCCCCCAGCCCATCGCAGGGGAGCTCTGCCTCCGAACGGGCCCAGGGTCCCTCCAGCTCTCGGTTCCTGGCAGATGCGCTTAGGCTCGCAACGGGCTTGGGCAGAGCAGGCACCTTGGCTTCCCTGTGCTAGACAGTGGCTTTCTGGGGGCTCCTATGAAGACCCCTGTCTGACTAGTGACATTCGTGACCTACTCTTTGGTGGCTTTGTTGAGGCTTGGTTGGTCAACTGCCTCCAGGAGCTGGCAACCTGGGAGTGTGGGGGTCCAGAAAGGCCGGGTCTCTGCAGTGGATCCCTGTATTGGGGGCTGGGAACTCCTCCTGGGGCACTGCCCGCTTGGCTGTTGCTGTGTGCGGTACTCAGCGCTGGTCCCAAAAGAGCAGTGGTGGTGCGGCAGTGCAAGCCATGCTCGTCTCTCCTTTGTGGCCGTATACTTAAAGCAACAAAACCCTTAGAGCAGTGAGGTTCCTGCCCAGAGGACCGGCGGGATCACCCCTATCCAAACCATCCTAGAGGCATCCATAATCTACCTTCTTAGTAAACGTACTATCAAGCCTAGCACAGTGCAAGACATCACACCCAAACCTGCCACAGGTAAAACTGGGGAAATACAGTTGCCGACATCCTGCTTGTGCAAAAGGTTGATAATATAAACTTAAGATATCCCAGGAAGAGGGCCACGGTCCCTGCTACAGAGGAAGGCAACGGCAACGTAGACGCACAGCAATGTAGACATAGGGCAATGCAAGCACGTCACCGGAGAGGCACGCTCCCTGGGTATGGTGCACCACTACGGCAATGTAGCAACAAGATCTACCCATGCGCCGCGTGCACGGAGCAGGACGGGCAGTGACACGAAAGCATGTAACTAAAGCATGGTGACATGTAGGCGTGCCCGCAGAGACCAGACCTGGGCTGGTACACAACCATCTCCCCCACGTGGTGTTAGGACACATTTGGTCTATGGTGGGGCCTGTCTCTGTGATACCTTTTTTTAAGACTAGAGGGGATCTAGTGTGATAGGGTCTGACGGGTACAGAAAGGCGAAGTGACTTTACCAAGGGTGGCCACGGTTGCATGGTAAAACCAGGATTATAACCTAGGTCCAGGCTCTAGCTACATCATGGCCTCTCCAGGCTGGGCCAAGGGGAGGCTGTAGGAACATTTATAAACAGGCTAACAGGAGGGAAGAGACACTTAAGTCTCTCCCTCAGGAGACATTGCCCTGCCTGGCTTTTGTGAAAATGGCTTTGTGTGTGCAGGTTAATAACGGGGAATCTGGGGCCTTCTTCCAGAGTGTCTCAATAGGGCCAGTTAGCCAAGAAGAGTTCAGCTCTGCTGAGCCAGGCCTCGGGCCCAACTGCCTGTGAAATCGCACAAAGGCGCTGTGTACCCGAGCCGCGAGCGCAGGGGGAACCAGAGCTCTTGGCTATGAGCTTGCACAGCCTCATGCGAGGCAAAGCCGGTGAGCTCTGAGCTTGAAGTTGCAGCAAAGGAAGTGCAGGCTGGATACCTGGAAATGCTGCTTCACTGCAAGAATAGGGAGGCAGTGGAATAGACGTCTAGGGAGGGTGTGGGCTCTCCATCGCTGGGGGTGCTCAAGAAGAGGTTGGACGGACACTAGGCATAGCGATGCCCATGCTCTATTATGGGGATTGGGCCATGCCCCGGGGCTTTGCTGGTCCCATCCCCTTGTCTGCCACATGTCAGGATGCTTTTAAACCTTCCTTGGAGGCACTGGGTGTTGGCTGCAGGCAAGCCAGGCTGTGCCAGTGCTCCTGCTGGGACCAAACCCAGAGGGCCCTGGCTAGAGGGTCTTGCCCCTCCGCTCAGGGTCAGACTGACGCTACATTTGGGGTCAGGAATGAATTTTCCCCTATCATCATGTTGGTACAGACTGTGGGGGTTTTTGCCTTCCTCTGTAGTGGGGGCATGGCCTCTACCTGGGATCTCTTGAGCATATATTAATAACATTGCAAGATGTTGGCTGCCACGGTCCCCCGGCTTTACCAGTGGCAGGTTCAGGTGTTAGGTCTGTTGCATCAGGGCTGATGCAGAGTTTAGATTATGGATTATATGGGGTGGCTTGCATGGGACTGACCCTGCCTCAGGCAGGGGGTTGCACTAGATGTGACCTCTTAAGGTCCCTTCCAGCCCCACTTCTCTGAGATTCTTGTATCACCGCTGGGGACCCCGCTCCCCCACAATGCGAGCAAGCCTGGAAATGGCCTGCTTGGGTCAGGCTGCCCAAGAGCATGAAGGTTTAATGCTGAGATCTGGACTTATTAGGGGCTTGTCTTGATGCAGTATTGTGTCAGATGAAAGGGGCTGGAGACCCAGCGTCCCAAATTGGGACGTCCCTTCAACCAGTCCCCTTTCCCATTTTCTCCCCTACCTCTGCAGTGTCCCAGTGCAGACCCTGTCTCCTGCTCCGGCCCACAGGGATGCAAGACCCATGTTTGCACATGTGCTGACCCCCAACAAGCGCCGGGGCAGGTCGGGATGGATTTGGCCATGCACAGGCCGAATCGCCACAGCCTGGCACTGAGCTGCCGTCAGCTGCAGTTCTGAAACGGTGCCGCCAGATGTCACCCCCTCATCAGGGATGCGGCCAGCTGAGCTGAGCACAGAGCACCAAGGGGTTAGACGCCCAGCAAGGCTGGACCGGGACAGGGAGACGTCTCCTCCCATCCTTGGCCTCTGGTTGCTAGCCGCAGACTCCTCTCGTGACCTCGGTTCCTAAGCTCCTGGTCACTCAGCTGCTTGCCCATCCAGTGGCCTGTATGCAGCGAGCTGGCTGGGTCCCAGCCCAGCCTCGAGCAGGCTTCTGTCTGCATTGCAAAGCAGTGCCTCTGCAGGCATCTGCAAAGAGCTGGTCAGATTATGTGGAGCAAATGCCTCTTCCCTTCCTTCTAGGCCAGGGGCTGGGTTAGCGAGGGGTAACCCTGCGCTGCTACTACCTCTTATGGCGTGAAGAACCAGTTTGGGGCTTGACAGCTGCTGGTCTCTCTAGGTTCACTCTTAATATTTAGGCACCTTGCCACATATTAGATGCCTTAATCTGCAGATAAGGCATATAAAAGCCATATAAAAAATCATGTATAAAGTGGCATTAACACCACAAGGGGCCATCGGGTTGCCCGTCTCCCCTAATTCCAGTCCGGGAAATGTCAACACAGCAACCATCCAACTCCATAAAAGGCCCCAAGCCCTTACAATGCAGGACCAGGTGAAAAGGGAATATTATGCTTTTCAAATGGCTTGTGCAGGTAAATACCACCAGAAAGTGCCAGAGGGCTGCAGCAGTGACATGCACTTGGGAGCGACGCTCCTGATGATTTCTCGCTTTCCTCCAAATAAGAGGGATGTGGATTCTGTATAACCTAATCCTTTTTATCATGGTATCTGCAAGGGTATCACATAACAACGTGATCTTTTCTCTTTTCCTGGGTAAGCTAAGTTAGGGATTGAATTCAACCTTGTTGCAAAAATCAAGTCCCTTTCACTCCAGAGTGAATTGAGCGTCCTCTTGGCTCCGGGAACAGCAGTGAGCAAAATCATCCCTCAGTTGAGGATGTACAAGGTGGGCAACACTGCCTTCAAGAGATGGGAACTGGATCATATAGCAGACAGACAGCAAGGGTGTCTGGGATCCGTTCCACATCCTCCATGTAAACTTCAACCTCCTAAGTCTCACCTGGTAGCCAAAGCCCGTCCCCCCACAAAATCTGGACCCCTAGTGATCAAAACCAGGGGGAGAAAGCTGTGCTGAAGCATACGTACCTCCGTACTGGTGGCCGTAGTACCCGGATCTGATGTACATCGCTTGGTGGGAATCCAGGGGCACCGTCTGGTAATAGTCATCATACGGGTCGTAGACATGGACCTAGGAGGGAAGGACAGCACTGCTACTGGGAATGACACCAAGGTCACTTCTTCTTCCAGCGCTCTGCCTTGGCTGGGCTGCCAGGGAGCCCTGATGCCTTTCCTAACGTGCCATTGCAGCAGGTTACATTAATTTGGGGTAACCAGTGACTCTAAGGCCCTTTCTTAGACCATGCCTGTGTGTGCAGCACGTGTGCCCATGCATGCATGCACGCCCACCCCCCAGCACACTGCATCTGCATCGCTGGACTCCTCAGCCGGGTGCAGTTTAACAAACTGCCTCTCCCACCACAATTAGCCAGGCAGTGTTAACGGCGCCCATGGAGCACGTATTTCCTATGTTCTTGTGCACGGCCTGTCCTGGGAATCTGATTCCATGTCTTTACTGAGCTGCTGGTTTCTGGGGTGAGGCCTCTGGAGAGCGTGGGACTGGCTTTTGTGCAGATCAGCACCTCCCTGCTCTGCCCCTCCTATTACCCTGTATTTATCTGTCATTTTTAAGTCTGCTCAGGAAGCTTCTTAATGATCTGAGATCTTAAACCAGTTTGAAATGGGTTTCCTGCCCCTGGAAACATTTCTGTCCTTTGTTGCACTGATGCACAGGTGTCCCTCCAAAAAAGGGCCTCTGGATCTGGTCCTATTTCCATTGAAACCTATGGCACAATTCCCTGTTAGATTTACTGGGGGTAAGATCGGATCCCGAAGCAGCGAATGGATGAAGGCATCACCCAAAAAAGAGCAGCCAGAGGGGTCCTTGCTAGGTTACAACTGCAGGTGCAAGGGAACAGCCGCTCCCTACGTTTTCAAGCTGCGGCAAAGCTGGCACCAAAAGGCGGCTAATCCACGTGTTCACTGTGCCGGGTATGAGCAGCAGGAATTGGGACGCCTGGGTTCGATTCTGGCTGGGCTCACTGGGGTGTCTCCGTGCCCCGTCTGCTCGGTGGTTGGGGCAGGGGGAAGGAGCACCAGTCTGAGCTGGACAGATGTTGGGCCCGAAGGAATGAGTGGAGTGAGGGGGCTGGGACAGAGCGTAACATTATGGCTGTTTGGACCCTGCTTTGTTTCCCACCGCGCCAGGGCACTCAGCCCCCAGCCTGGTGCACCCATGGAATAAAGCACCGATGGGACCCTTGCCCTGTCTATGGACTGGTCAGGGTGCTAGCCTGTCTGATGCCGGCAAGGTCCCTTCTGGGCTGCACTTGCTAGAATTGCTCCCTTGGCTCAACGAGGCGGCTTAGCTAGAGCGGAGTTGGCAGTCTGCACAGACACCCACTCGTGCCAAGGATGCAAAACCAGGACAGGACTAGAGGTCTGTGCCGATCTCCCATCACAGCTCTAACAGGGGCATGTGGTCAGAAGGGGGTGGCTCTTATCTGCCCAGGGTTCGACTTCACAGCCCGTCATGTATTGCACCCGGGCAAGCAGGCCTGAGTCCTCGTGCACAGCGAGATCCCTGAGCTTCAAGAGGAGTCCCAGTCCCAGCCCAATGAGCCCAAATGTGTGCAAGGGATGAAGGACCCCTGAGGCCTGCACTGCTCCCACTGCCCAGCTGGTTTCCACCGCTAAGGGTCCATTCCCCATGGCCCCTTGGGACTTGCACCTCACTGGCATCCATGGGATGTGTCCCCGTGCAACAGGCAGGCGGACTGTGAAATAGTGGCTCCGAGTCTACCAACCGCTCCCCCTAAAGCAGCACTTGGCAGCAGGTGTCCTCCAGCCTTACAGGACAAGCATGGCTGAGGCCACCTAAACCCATTGCACTAATGGAGCTCCTCCAAGCTTCCTTCTAGCTTTTTGCTTAACATGCAGGCCACGGAGGCCAGTGACGATGTCTGAGGCCAGGTGTAGGACATGGAGCTCTCTCAATGTGGTTGTAGTCCCAACCCTGGCCTTGGCTGCAGTCCCTGTGTTGCTGTATGGGCAGGGGTCACTGACCTTTTCGGCCAGATGAGCAATGGCAGGCTGGTCCGCTGGTCAGATCCCATTACTGGGCCTGATATGGTGTGTGGAAATGTGGTGGTGGGGGAGCGGTGACAGTGTTAATTGCTGCTGCTCTCCTGCCACCAAATTCCCAAACCTGTGGGGAGCCCGGTGGGTTGGAGGGTATGACTCCCTGGGTCGGAGCTGGCCCACGAGCCGGGGCTCGAGCACCCCTGCTGTACAGGAACATGCTACACGTGCTGAGCAAATGCACATCCGATGCAGACCCCAGCACAGGGCTTGCTGGGATGTGCTGGCGATGAGGTAGGGCTAAAGCCTTCTGAGCACCAGGCACTCTGGGCCAGCAGAGCAACTCACAGGGGCCTGCTGAAACCCACCTCAACTTACAGCAGTCCCAAGGCTGCTCTACTTTGTGCGGAGGACCGGGCAGGGGCAGAACTGGGTCTGGAACAAGGGAGGGATAAAATGTGGTTTGAAAGCATTTGGGGGCCTTGCCCTCCTTGGTGCACATCTCTGAGTCGGGACCTTCGAATTCAGCCTGGCTTGGGAACGCTATGGCAGGCAGCCCTCCCCCAAGTGCAGTTTGACTGCCAGCGTTTTGCTCCTGGCAGGGAGCTGCCGGCGGGGAATCGGACCCCCTTGCAGTGGAGACCAGGTCAAAAGTGAACCTGAGAAAACAGGCTCCAAAATCGGTTGCATGAGCAAAAGCTCTGTCCTTCCCCCCACAGCCTTGGCAGGACCTTAATGATGGGTGTCAGGGGCTCAGCCACCTGCCTGTCGGACTGTAAGGACACGCGTTTCCCCCAGACCAACACGCCACAAGGAATCTGCGTGCTGCCGTACCTAGCGTGTTTTACACACGCGCTCTCAGGGGAGCGCCGCACAGCTCGGCGCTCCGCTCCGGGCAAACAGACTCCATATCCACAGCTAAAAGAGCCTGGACGCCGGGCCCAAATCCAACCAGGCTTTCAACCTCCCAGATGAGAGACGCATCCAGCGCTTCATTATCTTGCCCGGCTGGAGGGAAACCAAATCCCTTCACTCAGCCCAGCAGGACGGGGCCTAATTAGCTGCTTCGCATGTTAACGGGGCAGCTGAAAACTCGGCCTCTTGCTCGGCGCTGACTTGAAGAGGTCAGGGTGGACAAAGAGAGGCCGGAGGACGGGACGACCCCCCACCTCCTCCTCTCTGCAAGACGAGAGGGCAGGAGCCAGAGGCACTGGGATGCCAGACGGACTCCGACACGGAGCGGGAAGGGGCAAGGGCCAGGCGGAGAGAAGCGGAAGTTGGACTTTTCATCTCCATGCTGCATAAAGAGCCCTCCAGCCCCAGCTGCTTTCTTTCTTTGCTTTGTACAGAGGGACAGCTGAGATGCACCCTCCAGCAGCCACAAAGCTTCCTAGGGACGATCCCGATCCCGAACCGGCTTCCCTCTCACAAGGCAGCGTGCATGCAGGCCTGACCTTGAGAGCACCAGAGAGGACTGCAAGGGCAGGGCTGGAGCGGCCGCACGAGGACAGTCCTCGCCTGCCGTCTGCTTCGCAGCCCCTTGCGCAGCATAAATCAAAATGCTTATCAACCTCCCAGCCCGCGCTGACTCCTTGCCCCAGTCACCTGCGTGCCGTAATCTCCTTCTCCCACTCCGCTCGCTCGATACACAATTAGCGCTCCAGCGGCTTGGGGTCCAGGGCTGGCTCTCCATGCGCAGCGAGGGGAGAGAGGGTAGGCAAGTCCAAGGTTATCTGCCTCTCGTTCTTATTCACTTCAGATTTGCACCGCTCTTGCCTTCAACTTATCTCTGTCACCCCGGCTCTGACATGCTCCAGCTTCCTTCTGGTGGGGTTTTGCACATGAGGTTGTCTCCCTTCCCGAGGGCAAGCCTGGGCATGGGCATAGCGAGGTGGGCTAGGGAGTAGGGAGCTCCTTGAGGAAGGGTGAGACCACAAGCCCCCAAATCCTCCAGGATGTACTCAGGTTGGCTGAGATCCTTTTGGGCATTTGGGAGTTGGGCACCTTGCCATGTTTGCAGGAGATGCTGAGTGTGGGGCTGTCTTCCTGCCCCGCATCTGCACATCTCACCGGGGTTTGTTTCACTGGGTGGTATCCAGTGACTCCCTAGGTGCCTCTGTGGAGCAAGACTGGAGCCCTCTACTTGGTGTCTTCCCTTAAGGTTTTTAGCCTGTATCCTTCACTCTGGTTCCTGCTCTGTTGTTCCTTGTCCCAAGAAACCTCTTGTGCGCCGAGCAGCTTCCCTCCAGCTGTTGAGGGGCCTTGTAGCTCCTGGGGAGGCTCGGCCTGCTGTCGCAGCGCAGCAGAGAGGCCCGACTGTGTCTGCAGACCCGGCCTGGCACCCCTCTGCCTCGGTGCTGCAGCACAGGAAGAAGTGGTGGAGCTTATCGGGGGGATGAGAAACATTACGCCCGATGGCTTGAGGCTTGCGAGTGGGTGTGGGTGCGGAGCAGGGAGTTTCCTGCCAACGACTTGCTGTGCAGCCTTGGTCCGGTCACTCAATCCTCGCTGTGAGGCAGAGAGCCCGACGGAGGTCCTGGTGAGGTGGGATTTGCCTGGCTGGGAAGGGGCTGCGGAGATGCCCAGGGGAGCGGTTCTCTCCCTGCTGCTTCCTTGCCGTTGGGTGAGGTCGGAAGCATCTTCCTCCTTAGGAGACAACAGGAGACGAAGGGCCTGGCCTCCTCTGACAGCTCGGTAACTGGCTGCGATCTGACATGCTTGCCGGCATGCCCCGCTCCTACGAGGAAGGCACAGGGAAGGAGGAAGGCATGCTGACCCCGACTCGCGCTGCCCTGGGGCCATAGGGCAGAGCCAGGGGCGCTGTGGCAGCACGCTCTCCTTCCCAAGGTAGAGTTTGTCCTCCACCGCGCGGCAGGGGAAACTGAGCCACAGACGTTTGATGCCACAGGCAAAGCCAGGACAAAGCATGTGGGTCCTAATTCCTGGCCTCTTGCTCTGACCTCCCTCCTTCATTTCAGGTCTCCTGCCTCCTACCACCCTGCTCCCATTGCAGATATCTGGGGCCTGCCTTCCTTGTGGACTTCAGACTCCTGCTCTTCCTGAAACTACCCCTCTGCTCCAGGCGCCTGCACCCCTGCAGCGTCCAGTTCCTCCTCCCCTGCTTTTCGTCAGAGCACAAACCTTCCCGCAATCCTCAGATGTCGTGTGACCCAGGGTCTCTTCTCCCCTCTTCCATTCACAAGACCTCTAAGATGCTATATCATGCACGTGGCATCTTCAGAAAGCCCCAGCGGCACTACTGCTTGCAGCTTCCACGAGGGATGGCCACCAGCACCCCTAGTTTATAAAGAGGAAACTGGACTGGGGCGGGGGGAAGGATCTGTCCAAGGTCCCAGAGCAAATATAAGGCAGAGGAAAGAGAAAACTTCAAGCGTTCCTACTTAAGTCCTTGCAGGATCGGGACCCCGCTCCCATCCGTGGCCCCTCTGATGCCCACAGTAAAGCTCCCATTTCCTGCCTAGTGCAGGGGGGCAGGACCCGACGGTCTTGCGAGGTCCCTTCCAGCCCCTAGCCATCTGCGAATCTGTGAGAGCTCATTCACAGATGGGCAGTAGGCAGCACAGCTCAAATCCCGGCTCCGCGCTCCTGTGCCAAATACTTACTCAATTGTTCTTCAGGCAAGGTGCACTGAGAGGACCCCAGGATATGGCCCACGGCCTTTTTCTCAGGCTAGAGAACCAGTTGTGCTAATTGCCAGGATCACACCACTTCCTTTTGGCAAGCTGGCGCTTAGATTTGCTTTCGCCAGTCCCTCGTGGCTTCGCAAAATCTACTGACAGCAGTGCGGCGCGTTCCCCGAACACCTCGGCCGAGGCCAGAGGAAGCGCATCCCATTTGCATGCGTTTGCTCTTCCCCCGAACTCCCTTAGCTTTAGCTGGTGCTTTGATTTTTTTGCAAGGCACTTGTACAATAGGAGAAAGCAAGCGGCGCCCAGGAGGGTCCCCTGCACGCCGCCACATGCACTACAGAGCCCCCGCGGGAGGCACCAGCCCCCGCGTTCACAAAGGACCTTCTCCAATTTATTCTCCGGCGCAACAAGGAGGAGGCTGCCGCCGCTTCTTGGAGAGAAAGCCATTTAGCGGGTTCGTTTGGAGAGGTCAGCTCCAAAAGCCACTGCTAATTCCATCCCCAATTAGCAGCTTTCGCTTCTCGGAGAAACGTGCCTTTCTGAACGGCTGTCAGGCCCGCGTTGCGAGAGCGCGCACGCTCTCCGTGCGCTCGTCGCCGTGCTCTTCTCCCCCAGCAGTACCAGGCAGTGTGATTTTCCACTGTGTGTGCAGCAGACAGTACAAAGCAGAGGGCTGGAGCCCCCAAGCTTACCCATGCCCCCTCCCCACCCACACAGCTTTTCTCTTCCTAAAATTCACCACAAACTGCCAGCTGAAGGGGTGCAGCCTTTGCTTGCCTCATACTGCTTTAGTCTTTCCCGAGGCCCCGAGCAGCCTTCTCACGTCATGTGCTCCCTCCAGCTCCAGGCTTTGAGCTGTTGAATTACTTCTCAGGCCAGCTCCCCACCAGACATTTTTGCTGGTGGAGCAGGGTGCGACGCTGCTAAAAGCTCCAGGGCATAGGCTTTCTATGCTGCTAAAAGCTCAGCTGCATAGACTCAAATTGTGGACAAAGTGCTTTTGCCATAGAGCTTATTTCAGGCTCTGAATCTGCCTGAACTGTACCAGAAAAAGAGCCTTTCCCCTCCCCGCAGTATCAGCTGTATCTGCCTAAGGTTTGGCAGCACAGCTACAGCACTGGAGGTGAAGCCCCAGCTGTCTCAGCCAGCGGTATGCAAGCTAGGGCCACGCAGTGTTTTGCCTACATTTTAATGAGGGCGGTGGAGCTGATCGGTCAATGTGCAGTGAGCAGTGGCATTGCCATGCACGGATGTTGCTGAACGTGCAGAGATGTGCAGGTAAAAGGGTGCGTGGCCTCAAAAGCTTGAAAACTGCTGCAATAGCTGCTGCCTCGCAGATGGTCGTCTTCAGTGGAAGAGTCCGCGAGAGTGAGATCAGGCGTCCAGCGTCAGCAGCCCTCGAACTCGAGGGGAAATTCTTGTGCCCAGAAAGGCAGCAGCCCCCGTTGTGTCTCTTGGTGGTGGTGGTGGCAGGGAAAGCAGCACCAGGGAACCACGGCAGCTAATGAAGCCATGGCTTGCCCTCTGCTGTTAACACACGTGGCTGGCAGGGCTCTGTGCCCCAGATTTCAGTGGTGGACCCCATCCCTTAAACCCCCAACCCCTCTACAAGCCCTGCAGGCCACACAACACTGCTCCATGGCCCGGATCTGGCCATAAGTTTGACGTTCCTGGCAGCAGAGAGCCCAGTCACGATGCTGAGGTACTAGGTGCCAGCCCCACCATGTGTGCCAATCCCAAAATGAGGTGGTGCGGGGCGTCCCCGGCACTGTGCTCAAGACCCAGGTTTCCAGCATGCTCAAGAGGTTTCCCCAAGGGCAGCGAGACTGAGCATCCTACTGGCACAGTGAAGACAGGTCTTAAGCCGTGATGCAGTTAGCTCGGGTACCAATACCAGAGCAACTGCAGCATCATAAAGCATCAAGCAGGGTGCGAACCCCCCCAGAAGCCCCTGCTTAAATACCTGGGCAGCCAGACGGCACTGAGCTCCACGCTGGTATCAGCATCTGGGCTCCTTCATTGTAAAGCTAGCTCAGGTATGTGTATGCACACCCAGCAGTCACACTTCAGACCACACCACAGTCAGACCCTGGGACTTCATTGCTTCCCCCCACCAGTACTCTTAGTTAACGAATAATCAACTTACCCCCCATGGAGATGAACACCCTTGGGGTCATCTCAGACTGACGTGCCCCTTCAGTCAGCTAGTCAAGCGGCAGTGTGGGGTAGTGGGAAGGGCACAGTCTGAAAAGACCTGGGTTCTCTTTCTGACTGTGTCCATGGACAAGTTGTTCCCTCCACGCTTTGGCTATTTAGGTTGTAAACTGTCTGGGGAAGGGACGGTCTCTTATTGTGTCACAGTGGGGCAATGCAACTGTGAGCGATAGTGCATTTCCTATTCAGGGCCTGCTTTCAAGCCCACCTTGGAGATTCGTGTTGTCCGCAGTGGGCTGTAGATCAAGCCATGAACTGCCTCTGAATCCTGTCATCTCTGTGGCTCTCCTTGAAAGGTCATCTCATTGCCCAGCATCTCTGTAGGACTGAGGGGTCTGGAGTGAAACAGAGGTTTCCCCGCCCCGGTGTGATTACAACCTTTAGCCATATTCTGGGGGGGTGTGATGCCTTTTCCATGCAGCCTGCAACTGCATCTCGATGGAGTGCCTCTGCAGACGGCGTGCGGGAGGGACGGTGTGGGCAGAGAAGGAGGGCTGTGTCTATTTACAACATATAAAAAAGCAAAAGCCAGGTGAAATGGAAGTAGGACCGACTCACCGGGGTGGCCTTCGCCTCCAGCACCGCCATCTTCCAAGCACTGTAAACAAAACAAAAAAAGGACAAGAATTTGTAAGGGAAAAAAGTGGCTTTAAAACCACCCAGAGCCAAAGCACCTTCTCCGTTCATCTCTCTGGTCTGTCTGCAAGGAGATTTGCTTAGTGAGCACTACAGCAACCAGGCTCTTTCTTGGGCAAAGGGGCGAGAACTTTCCACAGGCCCCCGAAGGCCACCGGGACCTGGGAGGAGACCGGGATGATCTTTGGAAAAGGTCCCGAGGTTGAGATCGGTGGGTCTGCGTCGGCCTCTGGCTCCTGCTTAAAGTGACATGGTGGAAACTTCGGAGTTGGTCCCTGCGGGTCAAACCAGGACGCAGCTTCCCAAACAAGAGTTTTTCTAATGGACAGTCCCACAAACGCCATTCAGAAGCTGGAAAGCCAGCTGGGTTTTTTAGACCCCAGACCCGTTGCCCACAATGATCTGCTAATGGACTTGGGGTGCTTTTGGTTGCTGAGATGAAGAAGGAAAACCAGACCCCAGCTTGGCTGCCAAGCTGTGCCAGCTCTTCTGAGCTAAAAGGACTCGAGGAGTCTTGTGCTAATAAGATCAGGAGGTAAGAGTTAGGGCAGACAGGGAACACGGCTCTGCAGGAAGAAGGCACCATTTTACTTCGCCACGTGTCTAATCCTACCTGCCCTCCAAGGAGAGGGTTTGATCTCTGATACAAGTCCCAGCTCACTGCGCATCCCAGGATCTCCACTGAACACAAAGCTGTGGCTTTAGGAAGCGATGGTCCTGGCTGCTAGACTGCACAAGATGGTCCCTAACGCTCCCGTTATGAATCAGGATCTGAACCACCTCTTAAACCAGGTCGCACCGTGATCTCTGACCGCCACGGGGCATACTTGGAGTCGAGGGCAAACTAAGTCCCGAATTAGGGAAATAATAAGGGAGACCAATAGCCTGCTCATACGGATTAAGTGAGTATGACCTTGCTCCCACTTTATGGAGTTCGCTTCCTGCTCTGGGAGCTCATTTTAAGTTGGTCAAGTTCCCTGCAGGAGGTACAAACTACATGGCTTTTCCAGTGGACCCATAGCTCTATCTACAGGATTTATATGGCCCCATTTCTGCAGTCTCCGAGCGCCATCATCTCCAACATGAGAAAAGTCATACAGCATCCCTATGAAGCAGGGTGCTATTATAGGCAAGGAAACAATGTGCAGAAAGGCTGAGCAATTTACCCAAGGCTTCACAGGATGGCCAGGAGCCACCAATGCAATGCAAGTGGAAAAAGCAAACATGATTTTCGGGTATATTAGGTGGTCATGTTGCTCCTATTTCACAGCCCTGTAGACAGGTTTTAACTTATTGCACAAGTTACATTTATTGTTGCTTCAATCTTAAATTGAATAATACAGCCCTAGGTCCCCAGCATATTAGCAAAGCT